CGAAAGCTATTTCACTAAACTTAATCTAGAAATATAAGTATATCACTAAACTTGGTCCTTTTTATGACTATATCCCTAGGGATATAACTATATTACGGCTACATCTATCTTACTGCGACATATTATACATAGAGATTCCATAATTTTATTAAAATGTAATATCCCTTAACGAATCAAGATATTTCAAGAATAAGACAAGAGTAAGTAATAATCAGTACAAATATATTGTTATCATATTAGTATGTATGTATTAAAAAATTAATCAGCAGTATTTTAATGTTTGATGTACCTGACTTGAACTATGATTGGTTTTAGATTCCGAAGAAGATTTAATTTACCAGTTGTCGTATGCTGTATTGACTGCACTCACATAGCTATAATGAAACCAAGTAAAGGTGAGCCCCTTTTTTAATAGAAAAGGCTATCACTCATTTAATCTACAAATAGTATTTTTCATTTTTCATATTATTCTATTACATATCTATATACATTTATCATCTATACATTTCATTCTATTTAAAGGAAGTCTTCGGCTAATAGGGAGCTTATAACTATTATACAAAAGTTAATCAACATATTTTTTCAGGTTTGTGACCACAATTTAAAAATATTAAATATGAATTAAAAATACGGTGGGGCCACACACGACTCTTTTTAAAATGGTCATCCAGTCAAGTGGAAGCGATTCATTCATGCGGGAACTACATATTATATCATAATGGTAAACAAACATGACGACTATTATTTATTTTGTTATAATCCTTTGGTACATAGCTTAAGACAACTACATTGTACTCTTAAATTATCTTGATTTAAACTCCATGTTTGTAATAACTAAGGTTCCAACATTTCTTTTATCATTAAGGGTGAAATAAAAAAAAATCTGTATCAATAAAACTTTTTTATTTTTGGTTACTTTTTCTGAACATAATTACTTTGTTTTCAAACTTAAAATTAGCATTCACATCATCTTTGGTATGACAGTCACATTTCGTTTCGTCATCGTGTCGTTAAGGTTGTGCCAGGATTAATTTTATATACGTCTAGAAAGAAAGTAAATTTCAAAATCAAAAAGATAATGTACAATAACCTATCTAATTACCAATAAAATTGCATGCAAAGCCTTCAAAGGTTTTTTAATTTCACTATAAGTTCCTGTATATATTTATCACATTTTATTACCTTATCAAAACATAAAAAAAAATTATGATTGCTAGAAATGCAGTAAAAACTAAAAACTATCACCTGCAACTCTCGTTCACGAAGGAACCTGTCACGCGTCTCCTCGAATTCACGTCGGGGGAGCTTGACCTAACCTACAAATTCATTTGTCGTTCTTTCGAATGGCTTTAATCCTCCTGTTCCTACGCGCCCACAATTAAGAACGACGATTTGGTGTTGTAGCTGCCGAACGCGGAGAGGCTGACGCCTGCAGTCTAGCCGGACAAAATCGCGGCGAAGAAGGAAGGAGAAAGGCGTGCTAAGATGGTGGCGTAGCTATCTCTCGAGCCGGTGCCAAAGTTGTACGTGGTCGGCTAACTGCCTATGGATTCAGCTGAAAATAATATTTTATTATCATTACTTTATTTTATTCAATGAAATTAATCTTTCAGTTGCCTAAAGACAGAATTGCTTTCATAATATTTATGGAATATTGATATGCTTAGAAAAACAAATAAAATTATTACAATCAACTTACTGGACTTTCTCTCTTTCTGCTGATGGTATTTCACTAGTGCTGCCTCCTGCCTGGACCAAGTGCAAGTCATTTGATGGTCTGAAATAAAATCATTTGTTATTATATCTTAGAATTTTGCTTTATGTTTACTATATGACTACCATTTTTCATCATATGGAACTAGTTCAATTAATACATAATAAATATCTATTTAAATTGATGACCTGATCCTGACAAGTTTTACAATATTAGATACAAACGATACAGGGCGGTCCCAGTTTATAAAATACTTACATTGAATCCAGCAGATGCCAGCTTGGCCTGCCGCAGCAGACACTCCAAAAACTGCAACCAGTCTCTCTTCTAATGCAGTTAAAGAGACCCTGCTGCTAGGCCCACCACCACCAGAATTTTGCCTTATTTAAAAATATTTGGTTTTAGTTTTTGTCTGCCAGTCTGCCTACGCCTAAAAATCACAATTAATAAAAAGCATTGTGTCAAATTATAATACCCAAAGATTTTAGATTCATAAAAAATAAATATATATAAGTATTTAATTTACCTCAGTAAATTTAATATTTATATATATCGTCATTATCGAAATCGCTAAGGACTCTGATATTATTTTTAATTCATGCCATTTTCTAGTTATCTGATGCTGATTTTCGAAATTCTTCTACCACCATAAGAATTTAACATACTCGATAAATCCTGCCACAGCTGATATCCCTTTAACTGACCTTTGAACGGTCGTCTAGGGTTTCGACATATCGCCGCGCTCATAAAATAAACAAACTGCCTAAGTGGTATATTCCTTTGTTGATTGTGCAGATTGACCACGACATTGTTGATATTAAGTTTAATCTGAGTGAAGATATTGAAATATTGATACGATTTTACGAATGAACATTCCATAAAATCTAAAATAATTAAGAATTGCTCTAGACTAGCTTGAAACCTCGGTTCCATGTAAAAATAATATTATTCCTAGTAACCATTTCAACACGATATTAAATACACAAACATGACGCCGATATATATTACATAACTAAACTAATTTAATTTAGATTATCACATCATACTTATATACAGTACTCACCGTCTTAAAATCGCTATTCCATGTATAATTTCACTTAAAAAATTCATGAATTCATCACTTCACAACTTAAAAATATTCTAGTTTTGCGGCGACCCATTGTCAAACTGACATTAGCGTACGACAAACCATAAAGAACAATTGATGTTTTTTGTAACATACGAATAGAATGAGCGTTCGACAAGTGGTTGTACACTTGGCTACCAATCGAAAAACGCTAACGCCCAAGCGTTCATTTTCAGTAGAATAGAAACGACTACGAGCGTTTGCCACTTGTCTAGGCCCTCAGCACTCACTTATCTAAAATTAATATCATGTACCACAAACAGATACCATAAAATTCTTAATACTAAAAAACTCTCAAATCACAAAAAATACATATTATATTTCGATAATGATCTTAAATGTCTTTGTGCATTCGTTCACTATTTTTGGAAAAGTAAATGAAAATTTTAATGCAATTATTTTGTCACTTCAGACAGCCCTGCCTTATGTGGTTAGAATGAGACACATTGTTACATAAAGGCACATACGCAGCGATTACATAAGCAATGCACATTAGAACCAATACACAACATTCACAACACTAATTCGATCAGCTAAGAAAGTAACCAGTATTTAATAAGCTTTTAAAATTGAACGTTAATCGGGAAAGATATTAATCAAAACTGGTGGAAAATACTATATAAGGCATGTATCGACAGGATAGTCCCTGACTTCCACCGACATTTTGTTTATGTAAGAAGCGTTTGGAATCCGGATATTGATTATAATTCTACCGCAAACCTCTAGTTTCCCTACAAGTTATGCAGAATAACCAATGCCCTGATATATTAATAGGAAACGATAATGTTGCCCCTTCTACCTTCTCTGAAAGTCTACGATACATTGTATAAAAATAATGTATTTAAATAAATATGATAATCAATAATTTAGTATTAACAAAACATTAAAAATAATTCTTAGGTGGTAAATAAAATGTGGGAGAGTAATGCTTTGGCTCCAATGAGCCGGTTCATTTATAATCAATCAAACAAAGCGTGCTTTGTGCTTCGCCGTTTGACTGATGTTACCGGAGGTCCGAACCTCATCCATATCCACAAACCGGGCAACACATTTAATTGGCCTTGTGGATGTCCATGGACGATGCCAATCGTTTCCTATCATTCATTTCCCGACCTGTCACATAAAAAAATATAACCTACTAAATGGATGATCAGATTTGTGTGTAAACTTACAATATCGACACAGTTCTGTTTTATTGAAAGCTATTTATATTTGTTGTTATTTATACAGCTTAGTTAACTATGTAACTGCGAGTTGTTCCCGGTAAACCTTTCTAAATGTACACACATCTGCTCGTTTAGCCCGTAATATCTATGTGCGTAAAACGTAAGCTGTTGTCCGTTTGTAAGCTAACTAGCGCATCCCTTGTATTGGTTTTGATTCTGGGGCCATTTCGTAGATCAAAACGCTATAAACCAATCAATTGATATGTTGACTAAAGAAATGTCGGTACCAGAACCTTCGATGTCAGATTATATTGAAACACATCGGGGTCTCATCACCGTGATTCCTGTAATCTTCTTACTTAGCGCCGCGGCTGAAGGCTCACAGCGACTGCCCGACACAAGCTTTCTATATTTGATGGACATTCGATATCTCTAGCGATTGGAATAGATCGTGATCCGGATGCAACTTCAAGTTTTTAGTTTTTTCTGCGTCAATATTTTAATTCCAAATGTTGGCTTCATCCTCCGTTTGATTGGAGCCACTAAAATAGCGATGGCTTCACAAATAGCGATTTCATGATGAATATTAGATACATTATCTAAATAATATAGGAAACATTTAAGATTTACATACATAAGTTAAGTTTAAGTTAGCAGGTATAGGAATTGTTTGTGTAAAGACAGATTATACAAATAAAATGTAATAGTTACGTATTTACGAATGCGTAAATTTCTTAACAATTTATATGTTTAAACTGTGAAATTAGAGAATACTATTTTGTTACCCAACGATATTTATTATTGCAATCAACACATTTGTAACGGTTACATCACAGTGATGAGTTATTAAAAAGCCCTAACCTATAACATATAGTCACTGGCCGGTAATGGAATGGAATGACAAAATGATGAGCGTACTTCGTGGCCACGCGTAGATCGTCAGGATGGTTGCGCAGGCGGTCCTCGCGGTGAAAGTTGTGCGCGGGGAGGGGGCGCCTATATCAGGCGACGTATGCTCGCGCGCACCACTCCGCAACCTCACAGGTGAGATATGGACACTTGTACCTCAACTCGAGGGTACAGAAGGCCATACAAGCCGCGATACTAGCTCACGCCCGCCACTCGCGCTGCTGCACTGCTCCGACCGTTGCTACTGTTACTGACTAGTTTATCAGTGAGACAGCTATCGTTGTAGGCCTTTTGTATCTGCTCACTTAGTGCTAACTATTAAAAAAACCCTTCACTCGTGGATTGTGCTGAAAAAGTGGTAAAAGTGTGTGTTGTACTGATTAGCGGGTTCCGCGACGCATGCGCATAGATACGCATCTCGTCCGCATTTACGTAACTAATTTAGGAAGAGATTTGTGATTCTAGAACCTTCCTAAGTATAGCTTGAGTCATAAAACATGTAGAATTTTTTAATCAATATGTATAGAGCGAAAGCTCAAAGCTCAGTAAGCTTTAACTAAAAAGTAAAAATAATTTTTTTCAAACAGATAAAATAAACCTAGTATTATTCGAAGCACTGAAGCTTTCCATGTAATAGCATCATTGTGTATGTTCCACAGTTTGTTTCGTGTCGCCCGCGAAGTTCTCTCCTCGTTGACAATGAAGTCCGTAGTGCTGTGCGTGCTGGTGGTGGTGGCTGCAGTGGCTGCTGCTCCTCAGAGGGAAGGAGCTGCCTACACCCGGGAGGCCATCAAGCAGGCACAGAACACACACCTCATCCCCAAGGACGCGGAGATACAAAAGGTAAGATTTTATTCCTAATTTTAATTTTTAGGCTTTTGTTTATTTTAGATTGTTTATGCAGAGTATACGGAAAACATAAACTATTTGTACATTCCGACTTTGTTGACATTTATTCGAATTCAAATTAAATCGTTACATTTAAAACAATGTGTTTAGATGTGCACATTTCGTTATAATATTCAACATTTACATGTTTAATGTCACAATTACAATAGCACGGAGCTTCCTCGTTAAACATGCATCTAAGAAATATTTACATTTTTGCCATCAACTGAAATTATGCATGTAAAGCATGGAGCCACTAATGAATGCGCATGCGCATACAAACGAGATCTTAACGTCTCATTTAAATTTAGCTGTTCTCTACATTGTTGGATAACTTCCTCGTTATCCATCAGTAATTAGCTTGCTACTGCAGAAGAGACAAGCTTTCTATGTTTCAGGAATAGTGTTGATAGGTGTGTAGGAATAACAACAGATTGTTGTTGATGTAGTGTTCTTAAGTTTGGTCTAAATATATACTTTGTCACCAGGTCCAAGAAGGTATCGAGCTGGCAGCATACGAGTCCATCCCCGTGAACCAGAGGATCAACTTGTTCGAGATCCTGGGTGACCAGGTCCCTTCAGAGGTCATCAACAACCTGCAGGGACAGATCGACCAGATCGGTCACCGCCAGTAATCTATTAATACTTAAGAAGCAGTGCTTCACGGCGACCAGTAGCGGCTGAAACGTACATACATGAAGATGGAAATGATGGAGCGCGTTGCCCGGAGTTGCAGTTCCGATGGATATTGCTTCGTACAAGGTCGCCTACAAGTTGGCGATCATGGACAATACCGTTGTGGCCAGCTCAAGGCCACCCCCAGTGTTGCAACCGCTACTGGCCCCCGGTGAAGACACCGTCGAGTTATATTTAATTTATTGGTGACGCAAGTCGAGTACGAGACAGTGAATGTGATATTGTGCAACATCACCGTTTTATACGTTTGTACATAAATAATGTTAAAAAATAAATTGGTCGAACGATGTCCAACCAGCTGGTTTTGTTTTACGTAACCCGTAGGGACAATACCACCGTGACGCGGATGTGATCCGTATCTCGGTTACATAAGGTGGAAGATCGTGTGATAACACGCCCATCGTTTATCACGCCGAATGACATAATGTATGATTATATATTGAATATTCATAGACTTTCATCTAGGTGAGAAAAATACGAACATTTGGATTGAATATTGATTCGGGCCGACCCGCGGACGCCGCGGAGCGACGCAAACAGATCGACCGATGGCGGTGTGTATTCGGCCAGTAATATTGTTACTCTGAGATCTAGCAGGATGTGTGAGGAATGACATGTGGAACAACATAATTATTATATCAAATCTCCGCCAAACATGTGATGACGCAGGTATCACAAGCATTGTGTTATTGACTCCAATAACTTTATATTGGAGGGCACTCTAGAAAACTGAGGCGACCAGTACGCATGTGTATGCATTTATACATGACAGTTTGTGCATCTTTGTTTTCAAAACAATGCAAGTATAAGTTTTCCCAAAGCACACCTTTTAATTCACATCATTTCCAGCACTTGAATCACGATACCTTACGATTCTTAACACCACTTTGTCCCTAAAAATTATATGAACCAAATCACCATACACATTACCCAAGCAAGTTTGCAGAAAAACTGAATTTATAGTAATTTTATTGTTACCCAAATGTAGCGAAATAAAAAATACCATTTACCTTCGCACTACCTTATTTGGTAGAAATGAACGCAGCTAACACGATCATGTAAAGTCCATACAGGGAATGTTTGTCAATAAGTAGCAGCGTGTCTGTCAGTCTGTTGGTAATACATATAAAGTCATCAATTAATGGTCGCGATAATGTCACAATTACATGTGCAAGTAAGGTCAGTTATGGACACCATAATTTATTAATTATCATGACACTTTAACATGGCACTTTATGGGAAACTTTACAATATGTGGTGTATCCCATTAAATCATCTACTATAGTAAGTTTTCTCACTGTAGATTAGGGTTCTTTTTTTAAAACTTCACACTTTTGGAATAGGCTAACTCACAAAATGCATGCTATGATTGAATTAACGCTGCAATTGAACGCTAGTCTAAGAAGTAAATAACAATTCAAAATTATGGGATTCCCATTGATATTTTGGCGGAGTGGCTTGGCTGCTGTACTACGTGTTGCGGGTTCAATTAAAATTATAAGTTGGAAATCGCCAATCCATCTTTAATAGAATGTGTGTAATGGTAATTAATGCTCAAATCTTATCCGTATGAGAAAAGTCCTTTGTGCAGCAGTGGGCACTTATATTCTACATATACAACAAGGTACAATCATACCATTATCATCAAAACATCTACTAGTTATCCTCTATATACTACACACTCTCGTATATACATTCATTATTTTCATAAACCTTTCAAATTTATAACAACAACCTTTTGATTTCTCTGAACTTTCCAAATATTCAGATGAATGGTTATTTCAGTATATTTGAATAAGTTAGTTCACTTTCTATTCTAGTTGGTAGATACAAAACATGATAGATATAAATTCGCTATAAACACAAGCTTTCTTTTTCTATTGTGAACTAATGACACTAATCTATTTGTATCACTTCATTTACATAATCATTGAAAAACAACACATTCAGTCTAATGGGCTTAGTCTTTTCGAGAAACTTCTAGATTTCTTCACTGTACTGTAAGGTCAGGCTGAGGCTAAATGTGATACTAAGCAGTAATTAATATTTAGCAGGAAAACATATAACCAATTGGCCAGGCTGATTATTAAGATGACAGTTTTAGTTACAACTATGATGACAACAAATAAATGCAAGCATTCAATCTTAGTCGAAACCATAATGAATAAGATAGCTCTGTACACCTTCCAATATTACCAACTCATATTTAAGTGATGCTGGTAGTCTCTGGAAACTATTTCACTAGCGTGACATTTAAGTGGTGCGTGATTGGCCCACTCGATTGGTGTCTGCTCCGGCTATCTAGTTTTTGAACTTTAACGACCATTTACTTTTGACCATACTAGGGCTATCCACATCACACGAAATTGATCTTAAAATTAAATTAGACAGATTGACTATATGTGATGACCGTTTATTTAAATTGAAATTAAATGTATGTGTACATTTCATGTTTATTAAAGCTCATGTTATTGTCTGATTTCGTCAAGTTTTACAGGGCAAATAAATTATCAAGTGTTTCATTAAAATGAATAAAGTGACTGTTGACTCTAAGAATTAGCAAACGTAACCTTTCCCGGAACTGAAAGTAATATTTCATAACAGCGGCAGATAGTGTTGCAGCATCCATGCCATCATTTGTTGCCTAGACTTTACCTACGATACGATATTCTTATATTTGAAGAAACATTTTGACTGTTTTTGCTGACTTAGAAACTAGTACCTACTTAACCTGTTAAAGATTATTGTTGGGATCAAATTGATTGTATATAGGTACATCCCAAGCTAAGCTTTTTTTTTATTTGATAGGTCGACAAACGAGCAGACGTATTACCTGATGGTAAGCAATCAGCACCGACCTATCATGGACACCCGCAACAACGGAGGAATTACGAGTGTGTTGCCGACTTTCTGGGGATTAGGGATTTGGGAGATTTAGGGATTTGGGGAGGGGAAGGATTGGTCCTCCGGTAACCTCACTAAAACAGCGAAACACAACGCTGTGGTTGTTTTACGTCGGTTTTCTGTGAGGCCGCGGTATCACTTCGGTCGAGCCGACCCATTCGTGCCGAAGCATATGTATATGGCTATCCCACACTTATTCTTGATATTCCGTCAGATTTAGTTGTAAATTATTCCAAATTCCTCGCAAGCAAGCCTGTATCTGTAATTAGAGTGCTCATAATTATCTTCACTTACAATACGATTTGGCTGTGAGATACAACAAATATTTTGAAACAAGTTTTAAGACGTATGTGTCTAGTTTTATTATTTTTATCCTAAGCCACGGTGGCTATTGTGAGATTTTTATGACTAAAAGTGGAATACCAGCGTCGGAGTGGTCACAGCAGTAATTATAAACATACTTTTAAATTCGAGAGGTCATATATGACAAAGGAATTACAATAATATATAAGTTCTTTAACTAGATTATGTAGACCTTCCTGCATAGTGACTTGTAGGAACAAAAAGTGGTTTATAACAGCTATAGTTTTGAAAGTTGTCTACAGCTGTAGGTACTACAAATTATGAATCTTAATGTTAGTTCAACTATTTGCTGTAAAAACTACTTAAATAACTACTAAATACTTGACAATATTGAACGTTAAAGCACTAAATCATAAACTGACATTTATTTTGTTTGTCATGCGCTATACTGAACTCTGCAACGTGATTGGAACATACAATGGTTTTATTGGACATTATTGAAATATAACTTTCTATTGATAGCTATTTTGCTTTATAGTTTCCTGTACCGTAACAGGGAATTGGCTTGCAAGCTGCACTTTATTCTCGAATGACCTTATGATGGAGCTCTTGTTGATACAACCATTAAGTCTGTCGGGGTGGTGGATTGATAATGGCCTGTAAGACTCTCATCTTTTAAGTACTTAGCTTCAGCTACATAGGTTTGAAGGATCTGACCGTTAAATCTCTCTCTTACAAATTCAAAATATTTCGGCTGTTTACATTTCCCGCCAATGATTGCCACTACACATCTCAAGCGAGATTGTTGTCTCCAATCAATTAGTCGTTACTGGTCACTGGTCAGTCAGGTTTCCACCTAATATGGGAAACACACACATTAATGAGGCTTTTGACCCAAACTTTTATCACTCCGGATTCCTAAACATTTATTTATGAGAATTTAATTACATACAGGTTGTCTATTCCAATAAATACAAGGCTATTTATTACTTTTATTATATTATGTAGATTATGGATAATTTTAAAAGTTATTTAAATACATACACATAAGTTTAATACCATTACTTTTTCAAAATAACGAATTGTAATAGGTGGTACGAGTGTGGTGGAAACCAATAATTTAATTAATTTGCCAATAGCTCATACGTAGCGCGTAGTTTTAAATATAATTAAATGAAGCGCTAACAGGTTGTAACAACATGACGATATAATTCATCATGCGAGCAAGGTCCGCAGACGGCAGCAAGTGTCAAGTCGGCAATCATTACCAGATAATAACTTAACCACCAACCTTATTTGGTTGGCACTTGGCACTGTACCCTAATGCTTACAGATTTTTTACGACATTATGTTGTAAAGAAGACCCATCGGCTTCTTTCTCATGTGTTATAGCGTGCAAGAGGATTATATCCTGCTGTGGACCTCGACAAACTGATGTTTATTTTAACCTGAAATTCATCAAACGACTCGCCCAGGGTGAGAGAAAAGATGGAGTGTCAGACTCTTACTGACTAAACACTTCTCCGTTCCTTGTGCTCCAAGCCGACGCCGTGGTACAATATTGCGCTTCATCCTTCATCAAACTGGGGTTGCTCCAGTTTTGATTGAGGATGATGTGTTTAGCTACATAAAAATATAAAGAACTTGAATAAGTTAAAGCAGTACCTACTGCAAATTCATCACCTACATGATCACAAACCCCACCCTAAATAATAGCTTTCATTAAATAAGGCAATTTATAAGTTTTATTATTTTTCGGAACAGTTTTAGCAAAGTTAACAGATAATAGATATGTATAGTGATCCTACAAGACGTCGATGGGTAATTTACATTACTTAGTAACTACATAATATAAGGTATGTCCCAAACAGGGATGTTCCAGGAGTCTCTACAGTACGTGAGCGAGCCCGGGCCAAATGTTACGCGATATCACGGCAGTACGGTATTACGGCACAGCGCAGGCGCCAGACGAATAGTAATCACTCATACCGCGTCAGAACTAGAAAGTGTGGCGCGGCCTGCTCAGCCTGCCGGGAGAATGATCTGGTGAATAAATAGCAGAAGCTGGGATATATAGTACAAACCTACC